TACCTATGTCACTCAGCTACGCTAACACAGTGGTGACATCATAATCTGGAACATAAAAAAATGTTTGACTTACGCCTGGGAGCCATAATGAAGAGCAAAAAGTCGGAATAAAGCCAATGTAGCACAATCCATCGCATGGCATACAGTGGTAAACAAATTGTGTTCGGTGTATTGTGCTTTATGATGACAGCACGGTTCAGAAGAAATACATAATCACAGATTGAAAAGATTACAGCTCTAAAACATATTCCCATTTTTCCAAGTAGCCTCATTAATTATCTATTTCCTCCAGTAGTCTTCTTGATTTCTAAATTACTTGGGGTCCTCGACTTTCCGTTCCTACGACAAAAGTACCTATGTCACTCACCCGTGCTAACACAGTGTTAGCTTCGTAATCTAGGACATCAGAAGAGTCTGACTTAAACTTGGGAGTCACAATGAAAGGCAAAATAACAAAACAAAAAAACAAAAGTTAGTCAATGTGGCACAATCCAATGCATGGCGTATAACCTGTAACTGTAAACAAGTCATCTTCGGTGTATTCGTGTGATGATGTGTTTCATCCACTCATTCATCCACGAAATTTAACACTAACCAAGGAACCCCTGTAATAATAATTTTACAAAACTGAACCAAGAAATAATTTAAAAACAGTAAACATATGAATGTAACTGGTTTATATCACCATAAAACAGCCATTTGTTTGTAGAGACCACTTTGTAAACATTTTTTAGATTTTTTTTTTAAATTAGAAGGCAGTTGATGAAGGTGTGAATGTCTGTTATCATTTTCTTTTACCACACCCACCATCTCTCTTTATCTGTCACAAGAATAGAATTAGTTGTGACCTGACACTGGGGGCTCCTTCTGTATGAATATGTGTGTGCGTGAGTATTTTAATGAGGTTAGTGTGACACATTTAATTTTCAATTGTCTTTTGTAGGGCAGTCGGACGACTTGTAGGGATTTCGAGGAGTTCAGAACCTGTCTTCTCGTTGCCCACCCTCAAGACGGAAGTTTGCTTTTAGAAAAATGATTTGTGCAAAACAATACTCTACATAAATTGACGGAGGAAAAAAAACAATTCAAAACAAATTCAAATTTTAGGACACATCTTGACACTTTGAAAACAAATGTGAAATAAAATAAAAAATACAGATTAGGCGTAAACAAAATGAAAAGGATAGCAAAAAATTCTTAAAAATAGGGAAAATATATTTTAAGGCGTAAAATGAATTTATTGTGGCCAAAAGAGCAAAATGTTAGCTGAAAATGGCCTTGTTTCAATTTACTGTTTGAAATAGCTGACCAAGTTTGGTATGTAAATGCTAGCCAATAAAAATTATAATAAAACTAATAGTTGATAGTTTTGGCTTAGTGGTTAAGGAAGTGGACCTAGGTTCGAGTCCACCAAGTTACCACTGAGGTGCTCTGTCACATTTGGTTGTTGCAGTGGTGTGCTGTGTCACAATGACAAGGAGTTTCACTTTCATGTAAATACAGTGGTTACAGCACTAGCTCAATGTTAGCCCAAAGAAAAGCTAGAATTAGACAGAAAGTGGCTACAAGCTGGTTTGAGAACAGGGAAAATGCACTGAAATTAAATTTTAAAAAGTTAAATTTTGTGCATTTCTAATGAACATATTTCTAAAGAAATTATAAACCAATTTCCATTTTCTCTATTTCTTCTCACCTTAATCAACTTAAATACTTTCCACAACCATGTGACACATAAATCCCTTAGACCATATGTGTCAAACTCAAGGCCCGGGGGCCAAATGTGGCCCGCCAGGCTGTTTTGTGTGGCCCACGGGAGCTTAAAAAGCATTCACTAAACTCTATATATGCTATACATGATCGATACAGTCTTCCATTTACAACTGGCCCTTTAAGGGGAATTGTATTGCTGATGTGGCCCCCTGGTGGAAATGAGTTTGACACCCCTGCCTTAGACAATTCTGGAACCAATGGAGGTCAGGTTTCATTCAGTCTGACAGTATGAGCTCTTCTCTCCCAGCGTGATTTTAGCAACTTATTAGTGTTCACAGACGAGGAGTGGGTGGAGGTGGAGGTGGGGTTGGCTACTGAAGTGTGACACCATCACCCAGAGCCTTATGGATTCAGTGACACGCGGTGTAGCAGTTGCTGAGAGCAGTAACAGGTGTCTGTCAACGTGACTCCAGTCAGTGAGTGACTGACAACAGTTGCCCCCAGAATCCACGAGTGCTCAGAGAAACTGTAGAACACGTTCTCCAGTCTGGGCTCTGCATCGTCCCCCTGGTGGAGTCTTTGCTCCACTCTGCCACTCTTCTGTGGCCTCAGTTAGTCGATGGTGGTGTTCAGGTGTGTATTGACAGCAGTTATGATCTTGGGTCCGAGTAACCAAAGGGAGCGTCATGCGCCGCAGGTTTGGAAGGTGCGTAAAACTGCTGCGATGGCTGGTGTTGCTCCTCCTTTAATATTTCCTCGCAGTTCAGAGATAAATGAACACACAGCTGGTATTGTTGTTGTTGTTGTTTGTTTTTCATGTGTATTTTTCTCTGTGTCTCTGTGCTCCTGTTGTAATGAGATCCTGTCTGCTTTAGTGGCACCTGTTGTGTTCCTGCTGCAGCTGTTGGTGGTGTTGAGTAGTTTGAACAGATGTGAGACTGGATGAAAAAAAAGAAAGCAACAGGTGTTTGTAGTCCGACGGCAGTTGGGCTTCTTTGAAGTGGATTAAATCTGTCCAACTATTACGGTTTTTTGAATTTAAATCTCAATTAATTGTTTATTTCTTTTTAGTTTTGTCCTCCACTACATGTAATAGTTTGTTTGTTGGGGCAAAGACAAATGCAGAAAAATACAGTTCAAACTAGTTAGTGCATTAACGATTCCATTATGATTCCATTTTCCACACAGTTTACTGATTTGATTCTTGCATATAATATATAGTACAAATTGGTGGCCAATCAGCAGTACAGTTCTCCTTGAAGGGCCAGTTGTAACTGGAAGACTGTATAGATCAGGGGTCCTCAACCCCTGGTCCACACAAAATGGCTTGGTGGGCCGTATTTGGCCCCCAGGCCTTGAGTTTGACACACATGCATTGGCTCATAAAATGAAAGGCAATGTTTTACCAACCTCGGGGTCGCCTGGAATTTAATGGGGTAACCTGAAATGTCTAGTAATAATTTAGTAGTTTAGTAGTAATATATTTCACATAATTATTTTTCTTTTTGATATTGTGATTAAAACACCACACAGACAACTTTATATTTTCACTTTAATGAACATAAATCGAATTCAAATAAAACACAGCGTGTAAAATTATCTGAGCTGGTCCATCTTAACTGGGGGCTGCGGTCACGTGACTGCACAAACACCAAATGTCTCTGTGGTCAGCAGAAATTTGTGACTCCAAGATGATACCAGAAGGTCACGGTCCAGTGGTTTGGTGAATATTTATTTAACTCTGAGCATTTCATTTGCCATCATTCCTCCTCTACCATGTCAAAGACATCGACAGTGTGGCAGCATTTTACAAAAAACATTTGAATGAATGAAAAGATTGCAAGCAACAGTTTGCATATCACAGCTGAACAACCTAAAAACGCACAGCTAACTGGTCTGCATCAGGTTGCTCCGTCTGTTAAACATAACAGAACTGACATATTTCAGTGTTTTGGTCTACACCCAGACCACACTGGATGTTAAGCCTCCTCACGCTCTCTGTAAGGAAGAAATCAGCGCGAGAGGAGGGAGGAAGGGAGCACGTTTATGACTTCATAGATTAGACTAAATAGATTTACAGCTTTGGCTTTCCCTTGTGAGAGACACCGAAGTCTGTGTGCTCAGCTAAATGCTTATTATACATAATGGAGCTCAAACTGTGCAATGAAACCCCTTTGACAGAACAGTTTTTTGCCAGATACAGCTAAAACAACTGGTCAGTCAACTTTGAAGGTCGTAAATTATACTGAATTGCAACATAATACTGAATAACAAGGCCAGCGATCATTTTAAGGGTTATTGAGAGACATAAAGAAGGGTTTTTACTATAACCCTGATCATCACTGAACCAGTGGGGGCGGCTCACGTACATGACAAGGAATAGGCGAGGCCTGGTGTGGATCTCCCCTAGAGATAAGTCGTAGGCAGTTGGAGGTTGTGTCAAACTTGACAAGAGCGGGAGCTTCCAACAAGAAGGAGCAGATGATGCGGTCTGACAAAGAGAAGTGTGTGACAGCGGCTTGTATACACTGAGAGATGATTAGCGTCAGTTGGTGAGCGCAGCTGAAGTGGTCTCTCAGTGGTGTCTTACAGTGTCTATTTTCACTACCTACATCACAGGTGTCAAACGGAGGCCCGCAGGCCAAATCTGGCCCATGGTGTAATTATATTTGGCCCACAAGATCATATCCATGTGTATCAGAGCTGGACTGCCAGTATAAAGCCGCTACATACTGGTGGAATTTGTAGTATTATGCCCTATATCATATTGCATACATTTTTGGTTGGTTGTTTTGGTGTTGGCCTGAAAAAATATGTACATTAAAAAGGAACCTGAAAGGCTACAGATAAAGAGACATAATAAGAAATAAATACCACTGATGTGTCTTTTATTTCAAATTGAATTTCTTATATGTTTATAATGTGAAGCTTTTGTTGTTATATATCTGGAGACGAGGGAAAACATGCACAATTGCAGTCAATTTTTTGAGTTTGGCCCATGTCTTCGTCCAACTGTGGATTTGAGTTTGACACCCCTGCAGAGTGTGGCTCTACTTTGTTTCGCTGAACAGTTAGACTCGTGCAGCTTTATTTTAATGTTGGTCATGCTTGTGGTGCTTGGAGAGTCAGACATTTTCAGAGGTGTTGCATGGTGTAAAAGGTTTGACAACCACTGATCTGAGCAGTTATGATGATCCTATAATTTCATACTGGAGGTGGTGACAAAAGCCTCTGACATAGTTCAGATATCGTATTAACACCCGTACGTGTCGATTTCCTGTCTTTTACAGTGGCAGTGGTTGAGTGGGAGCTGTCGTGTCAGGTCGTTGACATGCTTCTTCCCTGAGCTCGGTGCCGTGGTGACAGGATGCCAGTGCAGGCCGCCCAGTGGACAGAGTTCCTGTCCTGTCCCATCTGCTACAATGAGTTTGACAGCAGCAGCCACCAGCCCATCAGTCTGGGCTGCTCCCACACGGTGTGTAACACCTGCCTCCTCAAACTGCACCGCAAGGCCTGCCCCTTCGACCAGACGCCCATCAGCACCGACATCGACCTGCTGCCAGTCAACTGCGCCCTGCTGCAGCTGGTTGGAGCTCAGGTGAGCGGAGGAGGTCTAATAATGAAAGTAAAGGACAGCAGTTTTTTTTTTTTTTTTGATGTGGCTCCACAAACCTTGGTTTGTGAATTCCAGGTCCCAAATGTGCAGCCAGTGAGCCTGAGTGGTGCAGGAGAGGTGGAGCACTATGAGGTCTGCAGGGTGTGTGTCGAAGAGCTGGCTCTCTACCTTAAACCCATCAGTGGAGCAAAAGGTAGTGTGTATGTGTGTGCGTGAACATGGCCGAGTGTGTGTAGTCATGCATGTCAGAATGAAGAATTTGAAACAAGTTGTGTGTGAAATACAGGTCCTTCTGGTCTGCTGTGCAGCAGCTCCCTGAGTGTTAATGAAACAACTACTTAACATTGTTTCAGGAAATGTGTCAAGTCAAGATTTTAGGCTCATCTCTTTCAAAGGAAACAATTTATTAATTTCCTAGTATTATTTTGATCTTTACAAATCCAAGCCCGCCAATGTCCAGTAATGGTAGTAAATTTCAGTAGACCATCACTGTAATGTATTGGAACCTTTTAAGACCGCAGGACATAAAAACATGGGATTTTTAATTACATCTTAATATGTAATTTGTTGAACAAAGAAATGGATAGCTACAAAAAAAGATAGTTGCAAACTCCCGACGCCACAATTAGACTCCCTCTCAGTTGTGGCCAAAGGTGTTATTTCTTTTATCACATTTCACCCAGCATCCTTTAGTATCTTTATAGTTTTTCCTTATTTTTTTGGTCTACCTATTACATTTAACACTTTCTTAACCTTTGGAATGCTTACAAGTTAAGGCAGTGGTTCCCAAAATGCAGGGCAGGCCCCCTCTAATGGACATGCATGCTTCAGGTCAGTACTTCTCAAATAGTGGGGCGGGCACCCCTGGGGGGCAAGGTGAGGTGCCAGGGGGGGCATGAGGTTCTTCCAGTGGAATATGGCACGCTGGACATAAGTGTACCACTGCTGTAATGCTTGAATGATAACAAGCCTCCAGTCACTAGGGGGCAGCAACTCATACAGTGGTTTGTACAGATAAAAATATACATGTCAGTAGTATTTTAATTCATGGGGGTGTGGGTTGAGGGGAGGGGCGTGAAAACATTTCTGTCCCTATGGCTGGGCATGACAGAAAATAACTGAGAACCAGTACTTCTGGTCAAGTGTGCAAAAAAAAACCATTTTTGATGTTATGTATAATTGTTTTGCAAAAATGTCCTTTTGTTCAATAAGATTAGCAATTTTGTTGGACCTGCAGTGTATGTGGTGGTGTGTCGGTTGTTTGATAATCGTCGTTCCCACACAAGCTGGAGCTAAGAAATGATTGTAAAAGACACAGAACTAAATCTCCCAAGGTGCACTGTCCATGACAAAGGTCCCTGCGACCTGCTGCAGGTGTAGCGGCCCTCAGTCCCAGCGTCCTCAGTCGACCCATGCAGAGGAAGCTGGTGACCCTGGTGAACTGTCAGCTGGTGGAGGAGGAGGGCCGTGTGCGGGCGGTGAGAGCGGGCAGATCTCTGGGGGAGAGAACCGTCACCGAGCTCATCCTGCAGCATCAGAACCCACAGCAGCTGTCTGCCAACCTGTGGGCTGCAGTCAGGGCACGAGGATGTCAGTTCCTGGGACCGGGTGAGTGGCCGGGACAATTGGTACAGTACACTACAGTATGATATATCCTCTAGTCCATTATTGACTTTCAGTGTAACCTGTTGTAGAGTTTGGTAGACATTCTCACCATGTTGTGATTCTATGAGGTTTTGACACAATCAGAGTCAGAGACTAAACATGGGCTGTTATCTCCGTACTTTATTTTATCTCTGGAAACAGGAAATGAAAGTTATTAGTTTACTCATACCAAGGTCCACAGACAAAACCAACTATTTAATAGGACTAATCCCAGGTGTTGTCTGTCTGCTGCTGGCATGTTTTTATGTCGGTGCTCATGAGTTGAAATAAAAGCAGATTAGATTGAGTTTTTTTAAATGTAAAAGTTATTATTTTACTTGCTTTATGAAATAAGAGAGCGTTCAACAGGAACTGTGTGCTGTGGCATAAAACAACTGCTTTTCTCTATGGACTTTGGTATGGGAGAGTGAGTGGTTTTCCAAAGCTGCACATATTATATATAACTAGTTGTTGATTGTGATTGTGTGTTTCCATTCGTACTGATATCCAAACTTTTACCTGAGGCTGGTACTGTTTAATGCTTCAAAAACCCATAAAATGTTCCACTGGATTACTAAAACTGTAAATCTGAACCACGTTAATAGAACACATTGCAGGTTGAGGCTGATGCATCAGACTGGTGTCCAGTGATGATTACTCATAGGGCAGATTCTGACTGAGAAACTTTCTCATCATGATAAAACAATGAGTTTATGTAACGTCTGAGGACACCTGCTGCATGTACTGCTTACAACATTTCCTGTTAGTGTTTTAGCTGAATATTTTGTTTACTTCTTCTTCCCTGTCCCTTATCGGTCCTGTCCCTGCACCTTGTCTCTCTGAAGCTATGCAAGAAGACGCACTGAAGCTAGTGCTGCTGGCTCTGGAGGACGGCTCGGCTCTGTCCCGAAAAGTCCTGGTTTTGTTTGTGGTCCAGAAGCTCGAGGCCCGGTTCCCACAGGCCTCCAAAACCAGCATAGGTCACGTGGTGCAGCTGCTCTACAGGGCCTCCTGCTTCAAGGTAGGGCACGAGAGAACAGCGGCCGTGCACATGCACAGTGTCAGTGTGAACTTTTATGAAACAAAAAGGGTTTTCAAAAGTGCACAAGTGTCACACCTGTAATGAGGATCTGAGCATCTGGGGACACGAGTGTGTATTTCTGTGCTTGTCATTTGAAGACTGACATCGTTGGCAGGGCAGAAATGTCAGCTATCTGCCGCTGATGTAACAGAGGTCTATATTTGCCCGTGTTGTCCCAGTCTTAAAGGCAGACGCAGACGGGGGTGCGGTGGGGGGTAGTTTTCTTAAAGATTAGAGCGTAATTTCTTTGCGTTCGCTTCTGTTGCTCAGTGTGTGTGTGTGTGTGTACGCTTCTGTTGCTCAGTGTGAGTGTGTGTGTGTGTGTGTGTGTGTGTTGGTGTCTTGTGATGATTACTCATAGGGCAGATTCTGACTGAGAAACTTTCTCATCATGATAAAACAATGAGTTTATGTAACGTCTGAGGACACCTGCTGCATGTACTGCTTACAACATTTCCTGTTAGTGTTTTAGCTGAATATTTTGTTTACTTCTTCTTCCCTGTCCCTTATCGGTCCTGTCCCTGCACCTTGTCTCTCTGAAGCTATGCAAGAAGACGCACTGAAGCTAGTGCTGCTGGCTCTGGAGGACGGCTCGGCTCTGTCCCGAAAAGTCCTGGTTTTGTTTGTGGTCCAGAAGCTCGAGGCCCGGTTCCCACAGGCCTCCAAAACCAGCATAGGTCACGTGGTGCAGCTGCTCTACAGGGCCTCCTGCTTCAAGGTAGGGCACGAGAGAACAGCGGCCGTGCACATGCACAGTGTCAGTGTGAACTTTTATGAAACAAAAAGGGTTTTCAAAAGTGCACAAGTGTCACACCTGTAATGAGGATCTGAGCATCTGGGGACACGAGTGTGTATTTCTGTGCTTGTCATTTGAAGACTGACATCGTTGGCAGGGCAGAAATGTCAGCTATCTGCCGCTGATGTAACAGAGGTCTATATTTGCCCGTGTTGTCCCAGTCTTAAAGGCAGACGCAGACAGGGGTGCGGTGGGGGGTAGTTTTCTTAAAGATTAGAGCGTAATTTCTTTGCGTACGCTTCTGTTGCTCAGTGTGAGTGTGTGTGTGTGTGTGTGTGTGTGTTGGTGTCTTGTGATGAGTACTCATAGGGCAGATTCTGAAAGAGGGGAAATTCCCTTTATCTGATCTGAACATGGGTTTGTTGGTCTGAAGACAGCACAGACACACCACATTCACTTCTCAAAGGTAGCAGAAGTCACGTTTGACAAATCACAGCCGCCATTCTTAAAGGGACAGTTCACGTGGAGGGACATGTGACCTCTGTTAAATTCTTTGTGGGCGTAACACAGGTGGAGCAAACTCACTCAGTAATATTTGAACTATTTTAATACAAACACATGATGATTATTGAATTGAATTGAAATTGAAGTCCTACAATGGGGAAATTCACAGTGTGAGTCTTTGCAACCCACAGGCTGCCACAATAGGCGCCATTAAGGATACCAGGTTCTTCAAACATTTTATATTTTTATCTATTTTTAATCACTGAATAGCGGGTGGGTTAGGCATAATTAATCATGATTAATTGTGAAATAACAACATGCTGAAATATGTCAAAACACTTTTTCCTCAGTGTATTGTTGCAACAAAATATAAAAAAGTTTTAGTACATTATTTTTAAGTGTGTTTCTAACCAAAACCAGATGAAGCTAAATCAAAACCAGTTATGAAGCTCCAGTAGTTTTATCAGCTTCCTAGTTATGTATGGTAAAAAGGTGACGTTTGCTCTTATATTTTTGAAGATTGAAAAACCTGATGAAATAAAATAAATAAAAACAAAACACAGTTCAACACTTGATAAAGATATTACATGTGTCTTAGAACTTTTTGACCAGCCTTTCTCTCTCTCTCAGGTGACCAAACGTGATGAAGACTCCTCCCTGATGCAGCTGAAGGAAGAGTTCCGCACCTACGAGGCTCTCGGGAGGGAACACCACGCTCAGATCGTCCACATCGCCATGGAGGCAGGTCTGAGGATCTCACCTGAGCAGTGGTCCTCTCTGCTGTATGGAGACCTGGTCCATAAATCCCATATGCAGTCCATCATTGACAAGGTACCAGACGAGGTCACCAGAGAAAGGGATCATGGGAGAAAATGCAGAATGAGGTCTGACTCTCCTCGTTTGTCCTCTTCTCCAGTTGCAGTCTCCGGAGTCTTTTGCCAAGAGCGTTCAGGAGCTGACCATCGTTCTGCAGAGGACAGGCGACCCGGCCAACCTCACCAGCCTCAGACCACACCTGGAGCTGCTCGCCAACATTGACCACAATCCAGGTACCTCGCCACGGTCAAAAACATCCATCTGAACCAATATAAATAGGTCTAGTTAACGAAAAAAAAAACGTTTTCCTTTTCTGCAAATATGCCTTACATTAGACAATGTAATGTCAAACATACGGCCTGTTATTTGAAAATAAAATACTTCATGTTCATATTTTTTGTAAAATTATTATTATTTAATTAGATATGAATAAATAATAATACTACATATCTAATATACTTGTATTTCTTTATTTGAAAACAAATGGAAAAACATGGATTATTGTAATTTGACTGAGTTTAACCTTTTTTTTTGTTTTTGTTGCAGATGCTCCAGCTCCGTCATGGGAGGAGCTGGAAAGTGTGATGCTAGCTGTCAAACTGGTGGTGCATGGACTCGTGGAGTTCATACAGAACTTCAGCAAGAAGAGCCACGACAGTCCACAGGTACACTGACATGTTAGCTGTAGCAGCCATACATTTTGATATTTAATATATTAGTTTAAGGAAAAGATATTTAAATATATTTGGATATTCAGCGTTAAATATGGCAAATAAGTCAAACAGTTGTGTGCTGTCTAAATGTGATTAAAGGTGATTTTCAAGTTATAGCTAAACTTGAATAATGATTGTTAGCAGCAAAGTTAGCAAAAACATAGTTATGGTTGAAGAGTTCTGTGAGGCAACTGGATGTAAAAAATAGTAAAAAAAATAGTTTATAATATATTGGAAACCAGCCAAAGTTTTAAAAGATGGCTAAAAATACTGGAAAACGTACTTAATGTTAGCTTCAAAATAGTTAACTCTCAGAAGTGGTCACAAAATAGCTAAATATTATCCTGGACAAAAATTATATTAGCCCAGAGATAGTTAAGCATCAAATGACTGACGAAATATATGAGAATATATTCATCTAAAATATCAGGCCTAAATGTAGCATTTAATTCATGGCATTTATTGTAATGATCTTCAAACACTTCACCTGGTATAACTGGTCTGCTAACAGACAATAGAATCACCATGGATCCAGTTCACTTAGTGCTTGAATAACCAAAGGCTCATTCACATAACGGCATGACCTTTACATTGTTAGCTTTGTAAGAACTAGCACGGCCAACTGTGTGTTCATTGACAGTGTTTATCAATTTAACGTGCAGTAAAATGTGACCTTAAGAGTTCATTGTTACTGTAAATGTTTGTGTTGTGTTTTATCACAGCCTCAGGCTAACAGTAAGTATAAGACCAGTATGTGCAGAGACCTCCGTCAACAGGGAGGCTGCCCCCGAGGAAACAACTGTACGTTCGCTCACACACAGGACGAGCTGGAGAAGTGAGTTTCAGTTTTGGGAGTCTGAACTAATTTTCTAAATGAGTTTTTAGGTGTAGTATTGTTAGCCCATTTTGGCTAGCTTGCTATTTTTGTTATTTATTAAGTTGGTTAATTGTTATTTTTAGGCTTTTCTGGGTAGCTGTTAGCTATCTGCTCTATGCTGTAGTGTGGTGTTCACTTTAAGCTATATCTTTAATCTATATCTATATTTTTTTTAATTAAAGTAAATACTTTAAATTTGTGCTACGTTTTGGCTAACATTGCGCTAACAGTTCATTGCTGTTTTCTCCATTGTTTTAACTTTTTCCTCTTTCTCAATTATTTTTTCCTGAATGAATTATGCCTCACCAGACTTTTAGCTGTCTTACAACTTTTTTGCTTTCAATTTTTAACTTGTATTAAATCTTATGTTTATGCTTACCCTGCTAAATTGTAGCTTTTTCTTGGGTGGATATTTGTTTTAAACAGTTCAGCTCTATTGGTTAACATTAAGCTTTTTTTTGGCTCAAATTTCAGCATGTTTTTAGTAAACATTATTTACATACATGTTACCCCACCTCTGATAGCTGACGTACAACGCTTAAATAACTATTGGCTATTTTTCTGTTTTCCCACTAACTCTTTGCTAAATATTGATGCTTTTCTACTATATCTTCAGTAATCTGTGAAAAAGTTTGAAATTTTATTTTATAATGTTTGCGTTCTGACATCTGGATGGCTTTTAAATTTTAATAATGTGCTCTCAAAGAGCCCTGTGAGTGACAAGTCAACCATTTAGCTACAAAAGCAAGTTTCACTAATGTTCAAGTAAACTAAAAGAGTGCATAAATATATATATTTTTTTTTTTTAAATATATGGTCACAGTGGCTTATATGTATTGACATTTAAACAACTGTACTAAATCGTAGACCATAAAGGTGTTTCATACATGCAGTGCATTATGTATGACAGTAAAGCCTGTCCTCGTCCATCTGTTCCTTTTAATTAAATTTTATAAGTTCATTTTATGTGTAACAACAGGCGTTCCTGTGTGATGCTACATTTACAGCACCGCGGCTTCACATGTAAACACTAATCAGTTCTCATTATTACTCCTCGTCTCTGCAGATTCAGATTGAGAAACAAGAAAAGCAGCAGCGTGGGTCGTACCTTCCCGTTAGCGTCGGGGGTTATGGGCAAGACGTTCACCACGGAGGGCAGCGTTCACACAGATGTGTGTGCAGGAGCGGGCCAGGGGCTCAAAGGCACGGAGGAGGGTACGGTGACTCTGACAGAAGGAGCTCCTGGCCTGACTCACCCTCAGCTGATCTCCAGAGGAGCTGATATAATGGAGGAAATGAACAGAGCTTTGCCCAACGGATCCAACGGGTCAAACGGGCTTCCTGCCCCCCACAGGCTCTCGTTGGTATCAACAGAAAAGTATGATTTTTTTTTCAACATTTCAGCATGCCTTATATTACTTTTTCCCTATGTCCTATACAGTATGTCCATTGCTTCTCAAGTAAGTTAGCTGGTTAAGATGCTGTTCACAGTCAGAAGTCTGCCAAAGACGACTCAGGAAAAGATAAGACTAGAACTCCAGTCAATCCTGTGTCGTCACAGTTGTTAATTGAAGTGCCAGTTATTGTGCTGTAAATTGCGTCAGTGCATCCAGAACTGGGAACTGTGTCGTAACTTTAAAGACTGAGGAAAAAGAGAAGATTTAAAATGAACCCCAAGCAGTCAGAAGCAAAACTTGGTATCGGTTGTTTTGCGCTCACACTAAGGCCAGTTGAGAGCTGAAGCCCAGTTGCCTCTGACATGTACGTTGGTTTTACGTGGTTAAAGCAGTAGCAGGCTGTCACTCTGTGCCTGTTACGACACCATTGTACTCACACTAGCCCTAGAATCTGGACATTAAGGGGCAATAACGGTACAACGGCACTAGTGTGAGCGCATCCTTAGAAAAATACCAAAGATCAACTTAGGCGGTTTCTCAGTGAACGGCACACAGTTGATGTAACTTTGCTTAACACAGAGTATATATGATGTAAGTTTTCAAAAATAAGCAGCTATGTTCAGGAATGCTTCGAAAAAATCCCTTTTCTCTGTATCACAAGTATGGAATAGTGCATTTGTCCTTCCTTTCCTTATGTCCTTTCTTTGTGTCTGTGGTCTTTCTGTGGATCAGGAAGTCCATCTCTCCTCCCAGGACCACTGTCAGCAGCCTCTCAGCCTCTTCTCCTTTGACCACAGTTGGACACAGTGATGGAGCTGCTCCTCTACCTAAACATGGGCAGTTCATGCTGCGTCCTCCACATCCAACACCGGCGTCAGAGCTGTACTATCAGGAGTCTCACTCTGCTTATGACCCGGCACATTACCAGCCAAACTGTGAGTCATGGTTTCAGGGAAAAATCAATTTAAACATGGTTCGGCTGGAAATATAAAACCACGTTTTTTTTTGTTTTTTCTTTTCCTCTCCAGCAGGTTCCTACTATCCATCCACTCTCCATCCTTCTCACAAACCCTGCATGGCTCGCTTCCTCAGATCCGCCAACGTCCCAGAATCCTCTTTGCCACCTTCTGTTGGCCCTCAGTCAACTTCCTACCCCAGTGACCCTCAAACATCACACCCACCTTCCTCTTCTCCCTCTGCGTACTCTCCTCACCCACCCAGAGAGCGGATGGGTCCGGCCTTTCATCCTCACCCAGGACAGCCTCAGTTTGGCCACCTGACCCCGGGGCATGGAGTCTATGCCCCACTGTATGACAGCAGGAGAGTCTGGAGGCCTCAGGTGAAACTTTTATTTTCATATGTTTGAATAGTGTGTTTGAAAAAAGTCTAAAAAGAGTACTGCATTTCCAAGAAGAAAACAAAATGACATTGTTATTGTTTATGTCTGCATGTGTGTTTTTCATTTAAAATGTTCATTTCAAAGGATCTGAATTATTAAAAAAAAGGATTTTGACTCAATATTACAAAGTAACGATTTCACATTTCTGAGCTTGAAGTCAGATCTCTGAAATTTGTAAACCTACATGACAGACAAATATGAAAGGGATCTTATTGTATCATTTATTCATTTTTCTTTGCATGCTCTACAGTCGATGTTTTTTTTTTAAGCCGGTGTATATTTGATGCTGTGGAGATGACCTGGGAATATAGTGAGTGTCTGTGGAAGTAGATAATGAAGACTAAAACGAATATTTTCTTTGTCGAGGAGGAATTTTCCGACCTCACCGCTGACAATGACCATTTACCTCCACAGCTGTACCACAGAGAGGATGCCAGGAGTAACTCACTGCCTCCAGAAGTGCTGCATTCGTCCGTCTACCAGCCTCCTCTCAGGGAGAGGTTCAACTCCCTGGACAGTAACTACTGCTCTGGAGCAGAGCATCGTGCAGGGCTGCACAGGGTATGTGGGAACATATCTGCTTCACTCTGTGGCTAGGACTTTAAACAAAAATAGTTCAGCTCATGTTTTTATGATTCAGTCTCTTTCACTTTGTGACGTTTATTAATGTTCAACATTGTCAACAGAATAATCAAAGGATGTCACAGGAATAGATGTCCAAAGATGTCACTTATGGCCACCCACTGATCTAAACAGGAAGTCAGCCACTTCGGGTTTAATCACATTTTTTTGGCATTTTGCGGATAAAACAGTTGAATGACACACCTTAAGACCAGTGGTTCTTATGGACACATTCACAGCAATGGCTTCAAAACTCCATTGAATTTCTCAAAAACACTAGATTTCTTGCCAAAAAGAAAATGTTTTTTTCCCCACTGTGGCGTAAAAAAATTAATATTGTATTAAGTTGACCTGCTGCAAACCCCATGAAAAGACTCTGTGTCCCCCAATGGAGACTCGCCCTCCTCTTTGGGAACCACTTCCAATAGGCTATTGCACAGTGACTAAATGTAAGGTCCAATCAGAACTGGGTTGTCATGGATATTGCTCAACCCACCACAGTTCTACCAGAGAGACTAGTTATTGATGTCAACTAACTGATAAAAGAAACATTTAGGCTAATCAGGGCTACATAAACAAAAATGTATTTGGTTATATTGCGTCTGTTTCCTATCCCAGTATAATCTATAGGATAACATCCCATAAATCCATCTGTGCCACTGACAGCTGCTGTGTTCCTTCACACACACATTTCCTTCTCCTCACTTTGTCTCCTCTACACCCACCCACATATCATCTCACCTCTGCCTCTGCTGCCTGCCAGCCTCAGAGCTGTAGTCTGTGTGGAGCTTCAGCCTCCTCTGAAGTCCACCCACTCCTCAGCCAGATATGTCTCTGCCTCCCCCACTCACTGCTTACATCACCGTAGTGTGTACAGTAGCAGCACCACAACACTTACAGCACATTAGCTGTCTGATGTAGCCCTGCAGAGCAGCTGACGCCGAGAATACGGTGCCATAGGAAAGGAATGGAAAAGAATAGAGAACAAAAGAAGAAACTAAAATAGAATAGAATAGATTAGCAGATATGGAGACGGCCAGGCAGAGTTGGTGAGCAACTCAACCTTTAGTTTGGAAGACAAATCAAGTTGCATGTCAATGTGCTGCTGATCTACACACCTTTCCCCATCTGTCAGTCGTTCCCAACCTGGTAGGAACAGATTACATTAGGAGGAGAAATCAGCATAAACACTGCAATGTATGTTCTAATCCTCTGCTTTGGTCTAATGATTTATTGCCTTAAACTTAAACAGTAACAGGAAAACTCTAAATGAGGTTCTAGCCTCTGATGAGGTGATCCAGGTACATCCGTAAATGAGGTTCTAACAAATAGAGGACGATCCTCTGATGAGGTGATCCAGGTACATCCCACTGGTAGGACATCCAGAGAAAGGTTCTCTGTCCAGGCTGCTGCTACCACGACCAAACCTTGGACAATGACCTAACATCATCTATTACTGGAGCTATGTGGGATTAGTGTCATTTATTTTAGTTACCGTAATTTCTGGACTATTGAGCGCACCTGAATATAGGCTGCACCCACTAAATTTAAAAAGAAAAAAATAATTGTACATATATAGGCCACATGTTGTTTGGATATTTACGCAGAAATATTTTTTTCTTTTTTCTTTTTATTAAACAGTGCCTGTAACATGGCTGGTTAGACGGTTAAGCTCTTTCCTGCTTCAGAGCCCCGACCGTAGTTGGAATGCACAGGGGAGACTTAGTGATCTGCTCCTGGTCTGAAGCTAACATTAGCTCCAGGGCTAACTCCCTTCACTTTGGTCTTGTCCACAGCAGAGGTAAACAGAAACAGTGAAGTTGGGGTCTTTATTATCAGCCACTCCGACCACAACAGAACAGAAACAGAGTTTTAACAGCTCCTGTATAACCAACTGACGCTTCAACATGACAGGGAGACAACTG